GTGTGTCATCTGATATCCCAACATCTAGAGAGCATTTGCTCTAAGGATTACGTGAGATTAAAATAAATAAACATACAGAAGATCGGAGTGGGTGTTTAGCTACCAGTAAAGATGCCTGTGTCCTACACCAAAATCCCTGCGTTTGGTTCCTAGCTAAGACTCCTGACCTAGGCAGACCCTTGGAGGCAGTGGTGATGGCTCAGGTAATATGGGAAACCTGGATTTGGATTCCTGGCTCTGATCCTGGCCCCGCCGCAGCCACTGCAGGCATTTAGGAAATGAACCAGTGGATTAGGCCTCTTTCACTTTTCTCTCTTCCTCTTTTTCTCTCTCCCCTTCCCTCTGCCTAAATAAACTGTGTCTACATACATAGATGATTAATTAATGAGAAAATACTCACTTTTCCCAGACGTGGCACGTTTTCTCTGTGTGTGTTTGCAAAAGTCAGTTCACTAACCAATATCCACATCTAGTAGGTGTTGGTGGCATAGTGGTGAGCATAGCTGCCTTCCAGTATCCACATATTATGCCTGTGTCTGTTTTTTAATTTAATTTATTAGAAAGGCAGATATACAAGAGGAGAAGAGACAAAGATCTTCCATCCCTGGTTCACTTCCTAAGTGGCCACAACAGAGCTGAGCCAGTCCAGAGCCATGAGCCAGGAGCTTCTTCTGGGTCTCTCACATAGGTGCAGGGTTCCAAGGCTTTGGGCCATCCTCAACTGCTTTCCCAGGCCACAAGCAGGGAGCTGGAAGGGAAGTGGAGTAGCTGGGACATGAACTGGTGCCCATATGGGATCCCAGTGCATATAAGGCCAGGACTTTAGCCACTGTGGTGCCACGCTGGGCCTCAGTCTATGTCTGTTTGTTTATAAAGTATTTTCCTGAGCTCTCCTAGCTTGAAGAACTTGAAGAAAGAGAACCCTGAAGTGCCAATGGTCAGAAGCCTGGAATGGCAGGCATTTCTAAAAGCTGATGCTGGCGTTGGGTGAGCTGACTCCTACAATGCAGAATTTGGCACATGGGCTGAAGAAATGTGGTAGTTAAGACTGAATTTAGGGCCTGCTGTAGTAGCCTAGCAGCTAAAGTCCTCACCTTGGACGCACCAGGATCCCATGTGGACATCAACCTCATTTCCCATCCATCTCCCTGCTTGTGGCTTGGGAAAGCAGTCCAGGATGGCCCAAAGCCTTGGGACCCTGCACCTACATGGGAGACCCTGAAGAGGCTCCAGGCTCTTGGCTTCAGATCAGTTCAGCTCTGGTTTGGGTACCTGGACATGTAGGCAGGAGTAAGGAACTCAGGGTGGAGGTGGGAAGGATGGGTTTCATGCCCCCCTGGATAGTGATTTTGGTAGTTATTCTTTACCCTCTGCATAAAATAAATAAACCACACCAGTCAGTTGCACTCACTGACACTTTAGAGAAATTCCTTTTGGTTCTTAAGGCTTTGATCCTTGTTCAGAAGCCAGCACCCTTGTCACGGCTGACATGTCAAGCTGCTAATAATCACCGCAGTGTCAGTGGAAAACTTCACAGGGGAGTCTTGAAGGGTGGGAGAGTAAGACACCAAGGAGGTGAGAGAGAACCCAGTGTGAAGTATGGGCAAGGGTGCTAGGCTGACAGACCCCCCCAGGACCCTAGGGAGTGTTGAGCCTCACGTAGTTGTGATTTCTGCATTCCTGGTGACCTGCTTTCCACATGACTCTTTGATGGCCTTGTGCTCTGCTCAGGCCTGCATCCTCCTCACTGTGGTTGTAATAGGTTAGGCCTCAGCCACGGTTTCTGTCGCTTCCAGTTCCTATTCCTCCCCTGCCCTGACTCCTTTCACTCTCTGCATCCATCACACCCTCGACTTTCCCTCCGTGTCCTCTTACCCTGGCCTTAATTCTGTACTTGATCTTAGCCAAAAGGCCAAGAAGTGACCCTCTCCTTAATTCTTTGCATCCCAAATGTTCAGTTCAGCCTGGGAGACCAATCAGCTGTGTGTTGGCACATTTGCTATAAGTTTACTCTGTCATGTGTGTATATGTGCCATCCCTAACTTAGCATTTCTCAAAGTCTGTCTCGTGAAACAGCACCATCATATTAAATGCAAAGCAGACATAGAGTCAAAAGACAGTAGGCAGTCACGTTGGCAAAATTAAAATCCTTGGATTCCCTGAAAGGAATCCTGAGTCCCTATGAGGTGCCACACAGCATTATTGACTTGTGCAAGAGCCTGCTCTTCATCCTGTGGGACACAGGTACCAGAAGGCCTGCTGTTGCTAAGTTCTGGACCCACAGGTGAAGAAATCCTATTTCCTTCCACTGTGAATTGCTGTGCTAACCAAGGACCAAGCTGTGCAGGCTCTTTGGCCATTTCTGAGTGAACTATTAGAACAATTGCTTGATTGTATTGCGTTTTTATTTTTGGTTTTGTTTTTTAACTTTTTTTTATTATGGTCAAATTCATATAAAATTCATCATTCTACAGCATGTGTTTCAGAGACATTTAGGATGTTCACAGTGTTGTGCAACCACCACCATCACCATCTAGTTCTAGCCAACCAGAGAAGAGCTGTACCCCTGAAGCAGTCACTCCCCATTCCCCACTCCCGTGGCCCCCGTAACCACTCTTCTGCTTTCTGTCTCTATGTATTTGTCTGTTCTGGACATTTTGTGTAAATGGAATTGCATGAGAGGTGGCCTTTTGTGCCTGGCTTATTTCTTCGGTCAAGTTTTGATACAGAAACAAAGTTTTAGACCTGGATAATAACCTCTGCTTCTCCAAAATAGGCCTTCATCACTGGCCAAACCCCGTAAATGCAGAAGTAACAAAAAGCAGTCACCCATCTGGGAAAGCCTTAAGTTGCATGGCTGGGTGAAAAATAGGACGAGCCAACATAGAATAGGATCGAAATCAGGAGTTGCCATGGCTTTGTCCATGCTAGTCTGAGCCTGACCTTGAACCCTTTCCTCAAAACGGGAATCTACTGAGCTCCTGGCACAACGGAGTTAGCATCCTTGCTCAGCCTCTTTCAAGTCAGAAGCCTTGGCACGTCTGGCTCCTCATCATTTAATAGCTGTAGAACATTCTAGAATGAGTTGAACCCTCTCTTCTGGAGGGAAATCTGTACTGGCCATTGCACTGTAGGAACCTCCGTAGGTCCTTATGGCAAATTCAGGGTATGAAGGCTGACACTTATCCAAGGTTCTCGTGTTGTTGGAATCCCCACGATGAGCATCATGCCATTTGCAGGTCCTCCCCTGGTTAATCCTGTGCTCAGCACCAGTCAGTCTTCACCCTTCACTCACATCGCAGGCTTGGGCAGCACCCCTCCCCATCATTCCACCCAGTTGCCAGAGGGTTCTCATGTTTGTTCTCCTTTCCCCCACCTCGTTTCCATTCATACCACTGCCTAAAAGCAACAGTTAAATACACGTGTTAAGGGTACCGTGTCCTGCCTAAGAAACTGGGTGTCCTAATTCTCGAATTCTTGAGCCCTTCTCTGGCCTTCTCAGCAGACTGTGCCCTTCCACCTGATGAGGCTGGTATCATTCCCCTCCCTCCACATCATCTTGTGATAAACTCCTTGCTGAGTTAGGAACGCTTTATTCCCACCCCCCCCCCGCGACCCTCGCCACGTGTCCCCCCTTCCCCCACCGTTCTTTTGGTGTGGTGGATCTGAGTTCCTTCCAAGCTCCCTGGAGGCTCAGCAGCTGCACAGCACCTCCCTCTTACTGCCTGAAACAAACTCAGGTTGCAGCTGAACATCACAGGATTTGAGCTGCAAACATTTCCCCAACCCCCATCTATTAAATTGTTTCCCCTCAGTCAGCTAATTCTGAAGGAGACCCCAGTCTGAGCATCCAGGTTACCCCTGAGTGTGCCACTTGCTGGTTGTGTTGTCTTGGAAAAGCCACTGTCTTGACCTTCTGCAAAACAAGTGAAGACTGAAGTGGGTGTGTTTTCTATTTGTGGCTGTAACAAGTTACTACAAACTTAGTGACTAGAAAACACCAATTTGTTTTCTTATCATCCTGGAGGTTAGCAATACGAGGTGGCTCTGTGGGGCGGCATCCTCTCTGGAAGCTCTAGGAGACGGTCCACTTACTTGTCTCCTCCAGGCACTAGGGATTGCCTGCATTCCTTCTCCTCCGTCCTCAAAGCATGTCGTTCCAACGTGTGCTACCATCCTCATACTTGCTCTGCATGGCTCTCCTGCCTCCCACTTTGTCTTTCAAAAACCCCCCTGTCCTTATATAGGGCCCATGTGGTTTATCACCTCTAGCCCAGCATCACACCTGCAAAGTCTCCTTTGCTACAGAAGAGAATTTACTCTCCCTTTCTGGATTAGCATATACTTGTTGATATCCAGTGTCGGGGCCTGGTACTCTGTCTACGGTGGATTGTGAGGTTTCCTGTATCTCTAACTTACAGTGAATAAAAAGCATTATTTCTTCTGTTGGTAAGAACTTTGCCCACACAGCTGTCGGCTACTACACTTGTGCACAAAGATTTCCTCTTCTCAGACTGTTGGTAAAGATCCTAGGGCATGACTGAACTGCGAATCAGAACTTTGAGTTGTTTGGTACCCAGGTACGCTTGCTTCATTTGAAGTGGATTGATATTGTTAAGAACTAGAAGCCAAGCGGGTTTTGACTACTAATCTAGCTAATCTTCTCTGTAACTTCTACTTCATGTAAAAATTGTGGTATTTCTCAGCAATGTTACTGAGAACTACGTGCTTTCCCCCCCCCTTTCTTTCCTTGTTTTCTCTTTGGATGAGCACCATTTACAAAGCAGCAAGAGAGCATTGGTAAAGTGTCTTTGCACTGGGTATGTTGTGTTCTTCCCCAGTGTTCTGCTCATTGCATTGAAGTAGGATTGCCCATGGGTTGAAAAACTTGCTAAGCTTTGAAGGTGCTTTTGGCTCAGAGTCTGAGAAATGCGCCATGTGGGTCAAACACATATGCATGCCACCCTGTTCAAACATTCTTTCCATTCTGTCTCCTATAGATGCACCCACTGGGCCTGTGTAATAACAATGACGAAGAGGACTTGTATGAATATGGCTGGGTAGGAGTGGTGAAGTTGGAACAGCCAGAACTGGACCCAAAACCATGCCTCACTGTGCTGGGCAAGGTAAGCACCAGGCTCCCTACCCCCACCCCCAATTCAGTATGATTTGGGTTGGTGTCTTCTACTCTTGTTTCTCCAACTCTTAAAAGAGTTATAAGGAAGAGCCACACCAGCCCAATGCACCTTCCCAGCTGGAAGGTATGAGCAGAGGACGCAAGGTCTCCCAGAATCCTCGTGAGCTTGGACCGTGAAGGAGACTGATAACTCTCCTCCCCCCCCCCCCCCCCGGAGTCAGTGCCACTGTGTGCACCCTTGGGCAAGTTGCTTCCTATCAAGGGTAGATAATGGTGTTTCCTAACCATGTGGGCCGGAGGTTTCAGCATTGTGTGATTTGGAGAGTTTGGAACGAGGTGTGAAGGTATATGTATTTCCTGTTAAGTAACCTCCAGAGGATCCAAGTGACACCAGGTGACCAGCCAGGTCCAGGTCTGCAGAGCAAACCCCATGAACATGAGTATTTGATGGGGTGACTGCAGTCCTTGTGGTCTCCTGCTGGGTCAGGGGAGCTCCACCTCCAGATGAGGCAGGGCCCTTGGGATTTGCTGCCAAGGAAGTTGTGGGGAAACTTCTGGGTTTCAGAGCTTTTTTGGTTGTGGACTGGCAGACAGCAATTATGGTCCTGTATTAGAACTTACCTCATGGAGCGGTTAGGAGGTGAGGGGAGATGAGACGACTTGGCTGCACATGAGAATAAGCCTCAAAACCTGTGGCCACCACCGACTGTTGTCAACTCAGAAGTGAGGAGGAAGGCTCTGTGAGCCAAGAAGGTTAACATGACTTCTGAGTACAGCAATAGGATTGAAATAAATTTACGTGGGAAAGCTATCCATGGAGGATCTTAAAATATGACAGGTAACAACCTGTTCTAAACTTGATCATTTTGTAAAAAGGAAAGTTGCCAAGAAAGTTATTTGAATGTTTGCCTGGAGGGAAGGTAGGTACCTCCCAAGGATAGTATTCTTGCCTGAGTGTGTTTGCCATGCTCAAGAGCTGCTGGTCTAGGGACTGAGGTGGGAAAACAGCTGAAGGGGCAAAAGAAAAAAAATTGAACTCCCACTGGTTTCTAACCTCCAAGGGCTCCCGTGGGAAAGCCATTGGGAGAGGAGATGGGGGCGAGTGGGGGGAGTTTTTTCCACATTCAAAACTCCTGCTAGGATCTCCTATGGCTCCACAAACCCTCAGGTCTCATCTATTTGGAGCTTTTTGCATCCCTGCTCATCCTGTGAGTAGCGCCAGGGCATTTGTCAAGTTCTCCAGCGCTTTTATTGGTGGAGGGAGGAAAACCCACAGGAATTATTTAATGCCTATTTGGTTTGCAGTTCAGAGAACTGAATTAAGGTGTTTTCAGTGACTCAGGCCCCGACACTTCATCGTTGAAGCACTTGGCCAGAGCTGCTTGGTGATGGGTGGAGAGCAGCAAGCCCGTGGAGGACAGTTGTTTGGTGTGTTTTCCCAGAGGAAATGCCAGCTGGGTCCAAAAGGATGGGAACACTGCTTCCTTGTAGGCATCGCTCTCCTCACAGAATATTTCCACCCATACCCCTTCAGCTGCTGCTATGTTGGGCTCAGCAACTTGACTTCATTTGTCTCACCCCAGTCTGGCATCGCCTCTGTCTTTGTATCTCTTGCACCTATAAACGGGTTGAAACAGCTCACAGGGTCACCGTAGGTTTCTCCCACTGGTTTAAGGGTGGGAGTGCCTGTTGACGTCACTCAAAGAAGCCAACTGTTTGCTCCTCCGCCGGGAATAGCCGTGTGGTAGTTTTGCTTGGAGAGTCCTGTATGGCTTGGCCTGCTGTCCTGTGAAGCCAAGAGGGTGGGAATCCAGCCCTTAGACATATATTGAATCATTAAACACTTCATGTGCTTATTCATTCACCCAACAGCAAGTGGATGCGTGGAGCCTGGGAGGCGGGCATGCGGCCATGCCTGCCTGCAAGCAGCAAGCAGCCCCCACCTGTTTCTGTTTGGACAGGCAGAGGGGTGGCGAAGCAGTACTCACATGTGGCTACTTATTACAGTTTGGCTTAGACTTGACTGCATAAAATCATTAGTGGGGTTGGGGGGGAAGCTTGGACCAGACAGAGGAAGACAGCTTCACGTTTGTTTAAAACCTGGGTCAGTGTAGGAGGTGCCATGAGTCAGGCCAGCCCCTCCACCCCTGCTCCCTCTGTCATCTTCGTCAAGTGGGGTTGCTCCCAGATTCACTTCTCATTAACGTTGTTGGCTGTGGGTTTTTTTTTTTTCCTTTTTCCCACCTATTTGACCCGCAAGTGTAGGAACAAAATACCAAGGGGAGGAATGCAAGGTGGCAGTCTCGGGCCCTGCAGATTTTCCACCCATTTCTGCCCTTGGTGACCATGGCAAGAAGAGGTAGGCGGCGAAGGAGATGGGCAGAGGTGGCAGCAGAGGAAACTGCAGACTGGCCAGTGTGGCGGGAGAGGGGGTGTAGGGGACTCGGCCCGGTCCATGCACGTTGAAACTTGTAGAAAACCTTGGAGAGGAGGACTCTGTCAGCTAATCCAGCGGGCACAAGGGAGGGCTGGACACAGACCGCCGCCCCTCCCCACCTCCTCCCATCAGCTACCCCTGCCAGCCACCCGCCTCCTGAAAAAGCCCCAGGGCGAAACCTTGAAGTAGGAAAGGAATGTCTTACATTAAAAAAAAAAAAAAAAAAGCACAAATGCCTCTCCAGGAGTTCAAATAAAGTTTCATTTTAAAAGCAAAAGACATAAACTCATCACCTGAGTTTATTACCAACTGCTTTTGAACTCCCCAGAAAAGAGCACTATAAACTCCTGAGAGAAAAGTGATTTATGGCCCCACCCCCTTCTCATCTTCCCAGCTCCATAGCACAGACGAGAAGACAGCTGAGAAGCCAGAGTTGGGGTGAGGGCAAGCAGCACCCCACAGGGAAGTAGCCAGTGTGGGAGGTCAGGCCAGGCACCAGTTGGATCTCCCCAGTTGCCTGAGCACCTCTCTTTCTGGTTTTATGTGGAGACACTGTTTTAGATTCTTTGCACTTCTGATATTTCGAACTTCTGCATCATATTTAAAAGCGTTTCATGATATCTAGGTATGTTTAGGAAGGGTGGGGAATTCTCAGCGTCTCCCTGACAGCCTCAGGAAGTCACGAGGGAACAGAGTCAACATCTCTAAGCAGCTTGCTGTTGGAAGTCAGGGGGGCTTCAGCCTCCTCCGAGCACAGGAGTCTTGTGCTTATGGCCCTGGCCTGGTGTCCCTCTGTGCAGCTGCTGTTTACTAAGCATCTTGTGAGACTGAGAGGAATCCTTGAGGAATCCTGCTGAAGAGGGCAGCCAGGGAAAGTTAACACAGAAGACCAGAAACGCAAGGAGTTGCATGTAAAGTTTCCTTCAGCACTCGGTGCTTTGCTCCCCTCGCTGGTGAATTAATACGAAGGCACTTAGCACGGGGCCTGCCTCATGACAGATGAGCAGCGCAAGAGCACAGGAGCAGCGACCACATGAGCCATGGTGCTTGCCATGCACCACCAGCCCTATTTGCAGCATCTCCTGTGGATTCTGACTCATCCGTGAGGACTTGTCATGCTAAGGAAGAGGAGTCCCAGAGAGGCTGTCTGCAGAGCCAAAGAGCAGACAGCTCACAGGACCCCAAATCTGAAATAAGAACACTCAACTGCTTCTCCAACATTTTTTTCCCCTCCTGGTCTCCTTTTATCTTTGCCAGTTTTTCTGGATAAAAATTGAGTGTTCTTCAGCAGCCCTGGATGTTTGTGCCAGGATGTTGGTGCCAGCCCTGCCATTCCAAAACCTCCCCATAGACACGAAAGGGAGTTTGCTCTTAGGATTGTATGCTGTGTCCTGGGACCCAGGGCAGGGTACTCCAGCTCCCTCCAACATCTTCTCAGTGGGTCTGCTTTATTTCACCCCTTGACTTGGTGGGAGACACAGACACTCCCCCCACCTCCATTTTATTTCTGAGCCCAAGCATCTCTTTGTATTAAGTCTAAAAGATCCCAGAGAAGGAATTTCATTGGCCTATCTTACATCTCATGCTCATTGCAGACTGACCAGCTGGGCTATGGGACTGGAACACACTGAAACTTAGCCAGCCCTTCCCTTGCTGTCCTCACTGCCCTTGCTGTTCATGACGAGTAGGAGGAAGATGTGTTCTCCAGAAGAGAGCTATGGAGGCCAGTACTGGGTTGCTAAGCGCTGAGCAGGCCCCCACAGCCACCCAAATCATGTAGGAAAAGTCCTCAGCTTATCCCAAGTTTGTTTAGTGAGGATGCAGCTGGGACTCGGTCCAGCAGATCCTCTTCTTGCCCTGCACACACAGACACAGCCACAAACACACAGTAAATATGCTGGCAGAAGAAAGCTGAATGGTCAGGAATTGCAGAGAGGGGTTATGTTAAGGGGTGAGAAAGAATCCCCAGAACAAAGAAAGATGGGAGCAGGAGATTCTGCAAGGGGGGTTGGAAATTGTGGGGAAATGAAGTGACTTTTGGGCTAAGGAGTTTGATCTTTGCCTCTTCAGTATCCTGGAGCCATTGCAGCCTTCTGACCCACCCATATATCAAGACTGCTCATTCGGCGTCCACACCTGAACTAGTCACAGGATTTTTCAGGGAGCTAAGTGAATCCAGGCTTTGGTTTTGTTGTTGTTGTTTTGTTTTGCTTTAGTGCTTTGAACAGCCTTAAGCCAGTGAAAGGGCTGAGGGCACCTCATGTTCACCTTGTGTCTTTTCTAAAGCAGTGTGACCCACAGTGTGAGAAGGAAGACTACTGTGTGGTGAGGCAGTAGAGCAGGTCTGTAATCCCAGCTCTCAGTGGATGAGCACGGGATCCCCCGTGTGTGTGAGAGGCTGGCAGAGAACTGTACCCGTACATCCAGCCCGCCCACCCACATCCAGCACTCAGGGTGTCTTGATGGCTTCTTCACAAAGAAAAATAAAGACCCTGCTACACAAAATAATCAGAAACCAAAAAACAGGCTCAAAAGAAGCTTTGATTTCTTGG